CTCTCTCTCTCATTCTCTCTCTCAAATAAATAAATAAAATCTTTAAAAAAAAAAAGAAAAAAAAAGAAACCTTATGCTTAGAAGGTTTATTTGGTTTTAAAGATGTGCCAGGGCTCTTGGCCTAACAAAGAAAGATAAAACGAATCTGTTTTCACCTGTGCCACTCTTTTGGTCTTTCTCACAAATTACCTTGCTTTTCTGAGAAGAATATACACTTGAGCCAGTTGTGGGAGGGCGCGGAGCCTTCCTTTCCTGTAGTTCCGGGGTCTGGTGAAGCACCAACTGAGCATTTGTCAGTGACCCCTGCGAACTCCGCTTCTGTTGTAGGAAGCAGTGCAAGTATTGATTAAGCACTCGGCTGATGTCAACGCGAGGGACAAGAACTGGCAGACCCCCCTCCATGTGGCGGCTGCCAATAAGGCCGTGAAGTGTGCAGAAGTGATCATCCCCCTGCTGAGCAGCGTCAACGTCTCCGACCGAGGGGGGCGCACAGCCTTGCACCACGCTGCTCTGAATGGCCACGTGGAGGTGAGTGTCCTCATCACCGGGAGCAAGAAATCTCCCTAGAGCCTCTCTTCACCCCCAGTGGAACCTAATCTTACTGCTGAGGCTTTTAGCGAGTGTGAAGCTGCTATCTGCACGCCAAACCTCAGGCAACAATAGCCCATTTTAAATGCACAGCCAGTGGGTTGCCAAAGTAGCTGCCTCCTCGGGCTTCTCCGCTGACATACGTGCCACAGGGCTGTCTGTGATGTCAGCTTCCTACTGTGTTTGAACTCCGGGTCACTGACCTGCCTTTGGATTTGATGTTAATTTGACTCAGATTATCTGCATGTTGGTTTTCTTTCAGATGGTCAATTTACTCTTGGCCAAAGGAGCAAACATCAACGCATTTGACAAGAAGGACCGGCGTGCTCTGCACTGGGCAGCCTATATGGGTAAGGGTTCCTGCAGACGACTGTAGCTAAAGAAGCTGTGGGCCTGTCGCGAAGCATGTAGGTTTTCCCTTTGTGCACGCCTGACTTCTTTCCAAGCTTGGGGCCCAATTGAGTGAAGATTTGGTCCACTTGACTGGCAAGCATATAGCACTCTAGTTAGACAGTTGCTCTGTCAGAGACTGATTTTACCCCACAGGGAGGAGGAGGGATGAGTCATGGCCTGGACCTCATTGAATGTGTTTCAGTCCGGACGGGAAAGCTGCACAAAATGGTGCTTCTTTTAACTTGTTATGGCAGCAAAATAAAGTGTTTTTAAAAAAAAAAACAAGGACTGGCTAGCAAAGCCAGGACATAAATTCTATGTGTCCTTTTATTTAAAAGTGTTTTTGAAAGAAACAAAAAGGAAGGAAGGACCACCCTCTGGCTGATGGGTAGGTTGAAGTGACAAGAGTAACCGTGGATCCTCCTGCTACTCTCCTGCCAGTGAACCTGGCCTTGCAGGTCTCGCTTCTGCCAGCTGGGCTGGGAGACATGAAGGAAGGAGTTACATTTCTATGTTTTTTTTTTTTCACTTTTGTTGGCACAAGTGCCACTGACAAATGATAGGCGTCATCGAGTTTATTCTTGGTGTAGACTTGTGAGAAACAAAGAACTGGGATCCTTCCTTTGTGTTTGTAACCGGAGAATGTCCTGCAATTGGAAAAGCAGGTGGGATTCTACCAGCCCCATGTTATAAACCACCTGAATGCCCATCCCCCGGAGATTGTGTTGGTTAATGATAAAGAACTGCCCAGTGGGACACTGGGCAGTAACTACAGTGATGATGTCATTAGTCTTTATTAACATTGAAAGATTCTGTGTTATGTTAAGTAAAAACAGATCATAATAGCATGGATTATATGGTCCTCATTTTTGTAAAAGAAATCTGCAATATAGACAATCTGGGATATATTATATGCTGAAATGTTAGCTGAGTATCTCAAGGGATTGGCTATATGGATGGTTTTGGTTTCCTTTTAACACCTTTTTGCCTTTTCTGAATCCTTTTTAACAAACATACAGGCCTTTTATTATCATGAACAACAATAACGTTAATGGTGGGGGGGAAGAAAGAGAACGGGTTGGGTAGGGATGAAATAAATTATGTGGCTGTGGATGAGTCTGAATGGATATTTGGGCTTAAAAAACCAAACTCTTAAGATTTTGCAAGCATTATCATTTTTTTTTTTAAAGACAATGTGGACTTTGGAGCTGACGGAAGCAGATTGGATGTCTGCATGGTACCTACGGGACTGGAATCAGGGGACATTGGCCAGACTGCTGTTTAGGCAGAGCACACACTAGACTAGTGTGTGATGGGACGCAAAGAGCCTGGGGTTTCAAGTTTGTTCTTTGCTGATATACAGTTAAAACATTTGTGTAGAATTGCTTTAAAGAAGTAAAGTCGTTGTTTTGTTTGTCATCAGGATACAAATAGGAAAAAATACATAGATGACTATCTTTAAGGAATAAAGGACAAAACCAGGACAAAAGACAAAAGATAGCACCACTTAAGCTAAGATAGCCCCACTAGTAATTGAAAATAATTTTTCTACATACAAGTTTTGGGAGAAAAAGTCAAATTTTAATAAAACAAGCCATGACCAAGCTCTTTCTCTCTCATACACACACCCAACTCTCTCCCCCCTCCAAACACACCTCTCTCTCCATCTCTCTCTTTCTCACACACACACGTACACACACTCACACTCAGCCCCATGCACATCTTAGACCCTTGGAATCAGTACTTATCTTCTACCCCTCAATTATCAACCACATTTACAGCAGTGACCCAAAGCATCAAACAATCTTCAGTCACAATATAGAGGTCAAATACATTTATCGTACTATATATAGTAAGATAGGGTACAAAGGAAAATATTCTAGAAAATATGCCAACAGGAGTTGAAACTGGAAATGTTTCTGTTTAGCCAGTAATTCCTAAGAATACTTTTCAGTTGAACCATATGAAATTGTCATTTTTGTGGTCCAAAAAAAAAAAAGTCAAGCAACAGTGATTTCATATGATTTAACAATAATGTAGTGGTATTGTGATTAATTGATTTTTTTTCTTTCACTAATTTTTCCAAACCAAATTGTCACTGTTGGACTTTAAGGAATGGGAAATGCTTTTAAAAGCATTGCTTTCATTTTAACATAATTCTTTTTTAGGCTGTGGTACTAACATATTGGCAGGACCTTGTTCTTATTTAAAATGTTGGTGGTAGTAAAAGCTAATGGTGATAATGTAGGTGGGATCAGTCATCAAATTATCCTAAAAAGGCTACCCATGTTTTCTGCTGCTTTGTTTGTGAAGGCCACCTGGATGTTGTAGCGCTGCTCATCAACCACGGCGCAGAAGTGACGTGTAAGGATAAGAAGGGTTATACCCCTCTGCACGCTGCAGCCTCCAATGGACAGATCAATGTTGTCAAACACCTCCTGAATCTGGGGGTGGAGGTGAGCTGTGATGAATGCATCAATTCATGGTATATTTGTGGGTTTTCTAACGTTTGGTTTGGTTTTTTTTTTTTTAAGATTTTATTTATTTATTTGAAAGAGAGCACGAGAGACAAAGCACACAAGCAGGGGGAGTGGCAGACTCCCCGCTGAGCAGGGAGCCTGATGCAGCATTCCATCCCAGGACCCTGGGATCATGACCTGACAAGGCAGACGCTTAACCGACTGAGCCACCCAGGTGCCCTGTGGGTTTTCTGTTATTCGGAAATTAAATCCTGTTTGCATTTTAATTTAAGAGGGTAAAAACCTCCTTATTTTCTAGCATCCTATCTTTTTGAGTTTCCAGGGGCAATTGATGAAGGGCAGTGGGGACCTACAGCAAGTAATGAAAAACCAGAAACAGGCTAAGTTTCTATATCAACATAGAGAAATATTTAAACATATATATTGCATGTAATACATATTAGTCATTTTTTAGACGGGCTAGGGTTCTTCATCCTACCTTCAGCATTTAGCCTTCTAAATTGTGGTGTACGGGGTACCTGGGTGACTCAGTCAGTTAAGCATCTGATTCTTGATTTCGGCTCAGGTCATGATCTTGGGGTCCTGGGATCGAGCCCCACATCAGGCTCCATGCTGAGCATGGAATCTGCTTAAGAGTCTCTCTCTCCCTCTGCCCCTCCCACCCCCCCCAACAGCAAACGCAATAAAGAGACTCCAGTGATTTTACCTGCCCTCTCTTGGATTCATTTACAGATCGACGAAATCAACATCTATGGAAACACGGCCCTTCACCTGGCCTGCTACAATGGGCAGGATGCTGTAGTTAATGAGCTGACTGACTATGGTGCTAACGTGAACCAGCCCAACAACAGCGGGTTCACCCCTTTGCATTTTGCTGCTGCCTCCACACACGGTGCTTTGTGTCTTGAACTATTAGTGAACAACGGGGCAGATGTTAACATCCAGGTACGACGCTCTTAGTCTCTCTCTCTGCTAGATACCTCTGCATTGAGCCTCTGTTTGAGCAAAATCAACTCTTGTAAATGGTGTCCTGTTTTAGAATCGGAACTCTGAGTGCCTTGACTCCCACAGCCTTGTCCTATATTGGCCTGCTATGGAAACTTAGCTGTGTTGTTACTGCAGAAGTGGTAGGACCAGCTGGAAGGCACTGAGGTTCTAGCCACCTGCTTTTGGTAGCTTAGTGAATGTTCTGGAGCAAAGACTGGGTCCCAGGGATATTGACGTGGCCTAGTTTCTAACACGGAGGTGGATGTTGAGCTGATATGGCAAAGCTGCTGAGAATCAAAGGAAAGCCTAATCCAATGATTTCAGGTCTGTTCCTAACCCTGGCATGGCCCACCAAGGAGTTTCTCAGACACTTTCCAATAGTAAACCCTAGGTAGTGACTGTAGTAACGTAACATTGACCTAATAGTGGTCAGCTGGTCCTAATAGTCTTTATTCAGCAAACTTACTGAGGACTATCTAGTGCCCTCTGTTTGGTTCTGAGGGAGCACTCCAGGATGAGCTATGAGCTCTGCTCTCAAGGAGTTTACAGTACGGTAAGGAAATAGTGTGCTCTGCTGCTCATGAGACAAGAGAGAATGTAATGAGTGGCGTGAGAGAGTAATAGAGTATTGCAAACTGTAAGAAGCAAGTCAACACTTGCTTCCTGCTTGGGGATCAAAAGTGATGCCTGCTTTTGAGCTGAGAGTCGGAAGATTGGTATCAGTTGAGATGAGAAGAGATAGAGTCTGAGAGAGGGCATTTCAGGTAGAGAGAACCGCATGAACAAAGGGTTTGGGAGTTCCAGATAGGAAAAGCTCTGGGCAGACTCTAGGCTAGTAGTTAGCGCACTGTAACAGATAACCAAGAGGAACTTAGGCACTGCCCTCACCATCCAGGTTACATCACTTTGAACGCATTTAGATTGTAGTGGAATATCCTCACCTGCACAAGGGACTTTGTGTTCATCCTCAGCTTCCCTTCTCCCCAGCATGCAGCAATCCTAAAGCAGGTCCCAGTGTATTCTGTCTCTGCTTTTGAAAAATGATTCTTTCTGAGATTTAATTTTAAGAATATTGGGTCAATCCATTCTATTGACCTTCCCTATTCACTATTAAAATCTTTTTACATTTTTTCTTATAATTTCTAATAGTGGGGAAATACGAGACAAATTTTCAGAAGAGCAATTTATTGAGCTTGAAGGGAGCAGAAATTATATGAAAGAAAGGAGCCAGGAACAAGCTGAAATATGACCGGACCAAGGAAGAAGGCTTATCAACTGGCTGAGGGGTTTGGGCTTCTATAAGCTGCGGGGACCACTAGTCATTATAGAGGTCATGTGATCCAGACTGAGCATAGAAATAGTAATCTGGTCACAGAACACCAGAGACAGAAAACAGGAAGGAAAAAAATTGTATATATGATGACATAAACATTTTAAATGTTTATATGGCAAAACAAAACAAAAAAACACAAAAAACAAAAAACCCTAACATATACAAAATTGAAAGAGGACCAACTCAGAGAAATGTTTCTGCATTATACATGATGAGCAAAGAGTTAATACGTTTAATATATAAAGAGCTCATATAAATCAATAAGAAAAAGTCTGATAACCTACTAGAAAATACGTGTAAAGGCAGGTCACAAGAGAGCGAAAACAATATCCATTAAACCTATGAAAAATATACAGTATCATTAGTAATTAGAAAAATGCAAACTAATGCACAAGTATATTTGTCTTTAAGGTTGGCAAATATGAAAAAGACTAGTAATACCTAGTGTTATCTGTGAAAAAATTAATATGCAATAAGTAAATATGACCTAATATTTAATTTTAAAAAAGTTATGTGTCTGGGTTATATGCATAGAAAGAAAAAAATACTAGGAATATATACCAATATATTATCACTGCAGAGAGGCAAAATTATGATTTGGATTTTTAGTTTCATTTTTATATATTTGTTTTAATCTTCTGATTGTGATACATAAGCATGTGTTATTTTTATATCCAGGTGAAAAAAAAACATTTTTGTTTTTATAAAAAGAAAATTCAGGTATAATGGACCTAGACAGAGGATACAATTAGAGAATAACTGGAAGTCGGTAAAACTTGTCTAGATAAGAAGTACTGAGGACAGGGGAGGGGGACAGCCAACGGAAGACAGAGGCTTTGCAGAAAGAAAATCAATGAAATTTGGTTGGATAGGAGTTGGAGGAGTTGAAGACAAGTGTAAGAACTGAAATCTGATTCAGAGGTGACAGAGCATAGGGCTTAAGTGTTCAGTTCTGAGGCTGGGTTGCCTCGATTCCAGTCCTAGCCTTGACTTTCAGTAATTATATAATCAGAAACAACCTCTCTTGGGTGTCTGTTTGTCTGTAAAATTTGGGAAATAGTAGCATCTTCTTCATGGAACCGCTGTGAGGATTAAACCAGTTATCTTATAGAAACTACTTAGAACGGTTTCTGCCACATGGCAAGCACTCAATAAACGATTATCGTTGTTAAGAGGGACATCAAGAGAAAGAATAGGCTTACAAGGTAAAACTGTTAAGTTTAGTTTTTTTTTTTTTAAAGATTTATTTATTTGACAGACGCAGCGGGAGAGGGAACACAAGCAGGGGGAGTGGGAGAGGGAGAAGCAGGCTTCCCGCGGAGCAGGGAGCCCGATGTGGGACTCCATCCCAGGACCCTGGGATCATGACCTGAGCCCAAGGCAGACGCTTAACAACTGAGCCACCCAGGCACCCCTGTTAAGTTTAGTTCTTGAGCAGGTGATTTTGAGCCTTTAGTACAGCCAGTCTGAGAAAACCAATGATGGAACATGCGACCCTCCAGCATGGGAGAGCAGAAAAGAAGAAAAAACTTAGGCTGCCTCATTCACACAGGTGCAGGATCTTGGAAGCTGGAAAAGGATGAGGTCACCCAAGGAGAGAGTATGTCATAGCATGAGTAGAGAAAGGGATGGAGGGTGCCAGGGTCCATTTAATCTTAGGATCGAGAGGAAGAGGAGGAAGAACCAGAAAACAGATGAAAAAAGAAGAGTTAAAGAAAATAGAAAGGAAATGGAGGGGAGTACAATGTCTTCATGGAGGTAGAGAACAGGCAGAAATGAAGAAGCAGAATAGATAAAGAGAATTTCAGAGTTCCGTATCTTGTAAGTGGAGCCCATCCAAGGTCCTAAATGGGGGTAAGGGAAGGTCTACGGGGGCATCAAGGAGATCAAAGAACTGTAACCTGAGGTGGGAAGAGTCATCGTATAGTGTTGAAGTCACAGAGGATGGTGGTGAGAAGACAGGAGGTTAACAGGTGGCCGAACTGGCAGTGTCCCCGAAACTTGTGATGCTTGTAATGCCATGCTGGTATCTGAAGGACATCCTCCAATTCTCCAAAGAAAGGAAAAGTATTACTGAAGTTCAATAAAGTAGCTCTCTTCACCAGCCCTCACTTAATTAATTCAGGGGTTTTTCTGATGCTCTCCATTCCCCTTTTGAAAGCATGCTGACTGATGCTCTCAGTGTGCCTGACAGCAAGGCTAGAAAGCCACTTTCTGGAACACCCACCTGCTCCCCCCAGTTACCTGACCCAGTGCTCAGTTCAGAGTAGTTTAGGGACTCCAGCTATATATGGAGTGTATGGCAGTTTATGGCAGCCTTGTCCCCCATAAAATGGACCTGGAAAGCATGGCTCCTTAATTTTAATAATTGATTTTCCCCCATAGACTGCTAATCATCAGTAGAATATGAGAAATACCTTTTTTTAAAATCTGAGACTTAGGTTTATATATTATCTGATCTACATAAATGGGACTTTGGTTAAAATCTAGCCTTCTCCCTCAGTCTCCTTTCATCTCCTCTGTTTACATCCTCTGGTTTCCTTCTCTTGAATCCTCCTTCACGATTCCTGATGCACTCTGGAGGCACGGATCGTCTACCATTTCCGTGGAGCCATTTTGTCTGACTCTGGATGTGGCTTTCTAATTGAAGTTGTTATCTCTCTGTACCATATTGCTCCTTGGATTTTGAAAGTGTTTGTAGATCACAAGGCAATTTGTATTTGTTTAGATTTTCTGAAGTTTGGGGGAAAGAGCATATTGAAACGTAACCAGTACCCACCCACATGTTCACTTTGTTTTCCTCTATCCTCACAAAATACTAAAAGTGATGTCTTCATGAGCAATTACAAGACAATGGAGAGAGAAGGAAGGATGTGTGTCCTGCGCACATTTTACAATCCTTCATTTTCCTTAGATTGACCATGGCCCTGTCTCCGACTTTGTAATGTTGGTTTAATTGTGATAAGTAATAAAGACACAATACTTTTTTTTTTTTTTTTTAGA